GTGCAATATTAATCTACCATGTTATGATGTAATACTGTGCTGTGCAATATTAATCTACCCTGTTATGATGTAATACTGTGTTGTGCAATATTAATCTAACCTGTGATGATGTAATACTGTGCTGTGCAATATTAATCTACCCTGTTATGCTGTAATACTGTGTTGTGCAATATTAATCTACCCTGTTATGATGTAATACTGAGCTGTGCAATATTAATCCCCCCATGTTATGCTGTAATGCTGTGTTGTGCAATATTAATCTACCCTTTTATGATGCAATACTGTGCTGTGCAATATGGTTACGTCAAGTTATGCTGTAATGCTGTGCTGTGCAATATTGCTGTGCTGTCCAGTCCATTATGGTTTTGCCAAGTTATGATGCAATGCTGTGCTGTGCAATATGATTATGCCGTATTATGCTTTAATACTGTGTTGTCCACTCAGACTCAAAAGACGGCGTTCTTAGTATGCCTCTGTGTATATGGGACCACTTTGTTCATGTCAATCTGGAAATGAAATCTCGTCGTTCATCGTTATCACATATTGGGTTTTTTAACTTTCCGGTATCAGGGGTCATGAATGAATCAAATCCTCTAAAGCGTCGCAAAATTTAATCCCTCAGGCGTGACAGGGTGCTTTTATGTTGAGTCCAAATACCTCATGATTATCAATAAGGACGACACTTGTGATTGTAGGTATCTCCGAAGTTACAAACGTGTAAATACTTCTTCTCTTCTGGGTTTTCTCTCACTAGAAGTTGACACGCTATAACGTAGAGAAAACGTCAACAAACCCACTTTCTCGCATCAGTTTTGTGTAAGATGCATATTAATATATACTCAACAAAGCTGTATGATGAATAGTCATATCAAGTCAAGTCCCCCCCAAATAGTCATAATCTTTTTATTCAGTATACATTTGAAAATCTACAAACCTAGTCCATACTCATATCTTTTCATGGTTATATATTGGCGGGTATGACAAGAAATCAAGTGAGCAGTCTAGTATGACAAAAGATTATTTGGTGAAATGTAGTAATTATTTATGATAAGACAAGTTATGTACGAGAAACATAGACTTTTAAGTTTATTTAGTTGGTACAAGAAGAAATAGTTTGGACATTTACTGGTATTCGTTCAACCTGCATGCATTAGAGGGTAAGGTAGTTACAATACTGAACTTGGTTTTGGTACATCAGTGAATATGCTGATAAAAACTCTCCTTTCACTAACCTTTCTACATTTATTCCAATACCTCTTCTGCTTCATCTGATTGTTTTAATTATTATGTATTGTTTGCACGCGCACGCACGTACGCACACGCATCCATCTATCCATGAATGCATGCATGCAAGCATCCATCCATCCGTCCGTCCACCCATTCATCAATACATACATACATACATACATACATACATACATACATACATACATACACGCACGCACGCACGCACGCACGCACGCACGCACGCACACACACACACATACATACATACATACATACAGACAGACAGACAGACAGAATGGTCAGCAAATGGTTTCCTTACGTTCCTTTTTATCTCGAAAGCGTTATAGGTAATATTTATTGACTGTCTTCGACTGTTATAAGACTGATGAAGTCAAAGGCAATCCCATATAAAATATAAAATTGTATGTTATGCAGGGTTGTTTTGTTTTTTGAGTGGTAAATTACGTGCTATATCCATGCTGTGAGTGTAATCCTTCATGTCCTAGAATTGTACATCCATCCATTACACGTCATTGTGCAGGTAAACAACCCGTGTCCTCCAGACTGACACAGAAACAACGTGGACATGCTTGCCAGTGCCTTGCCAAACAGATTTGCTGCTGTCATTCTTATGTCAAGGTACTAGAAAGATAATTTGGGGCAACGGAAACAATATAAATATCCTTCATCAGAAGTAAATTGTCAAGTCACAAGTATTTTCACCTATATTCCAACGAAACGTGGATACAAAGCGTGAAGCCACATTAAGAGGAACAAAGGCTGCGTAAAGGCTCACTCAGTAGCACAGTCTTTGTGTTGATATTGATCTGTATTTAACCTGTTATTTATTTTGTTCATTGTATTGAATAAAACAATTATATACTAGGCACATAAAGAAACTGTGCATACAAAAAACTAAAATCTAAATTTATCAAACCTGTGTAGACACATAAGGATTTAAACTCAGAGATTAGTGAAATGTATCCAACATGCATGCACGTGCCACGTTCCGTGACGTCAGTGGGTTCGTCCTTGAGACGTGCAATACGTTGTTGCACGTGCATTCCGGGAAAGAGAAACAGAGCAAATGAATGCCACACAATACTGTCACTTTGGAAAGCTCAACCCCTGCCCTTGCGATCGTTCAAAAAATTAAACGGCTATTGAAACGCATAGCATGCCAAGGCTCACGTCTGCACAACGTCATGAGGCCATTGGGATGGCACATTTCCACTGCCACCGGAACACCATTTCTGCACTGGTGAGACGCTACCAGAACACAAATGACGTCATCGATCGGCCACGTTCTGGACGTCCACGTGTAACAACGCCAAGACAGGACGGATGGATAAGGGTGACCCATCTTCGCCACAGGTTTCAGACTGCAGTGACGACTGCTCGAACCATCCCAGGCCTTCGCCGTATCCACCCCAACACAGTTCGACAACGTTTACGTCATCACGGGATCAGACCAGGACGTCCCGCCATACGGCCTATCCTGACACAACGTCATCGACAAGGTCGCCGAATGTGGTGCCGAAATCATGTCCGCAGACCCTTGTTTTGGTGGATAAATGTTGTTTTTACAGATGAGTCCAGGTTGAACATTTCCCATAGTGATGGACGTCTACGTGCCTATAGACGCGTGGGAGAACGTTATGCACAGGCCTGTGTCTTGGAGAGGAATCGCTTTGGTGGTGGTTCCGTGATGATTTGGGGTGGAATAACAGCACGCCAAAGAACTCCTTTGGTGATTGTTCAGGGCAACTTAACTGGTGTGGGCTACAGGGATCAGATTCTTCGACCTGTCGACCTTCTGCAACGTCATGGCCCTGGGTTAACATTCCAACAGGACAATGCCCGCCCTCATACGGCAAGGGTTGCTATGGATTTCTTGCAACACCACAACGTTGACTTACTGCCTTGGCCTGCAAATTCAACGGATCTCTCCCCGATAGAGCATGTTTGGGACGAGATGGATCGACGTCTAACGCCGTCTTCCTCATCAGCCAGATAACGTCCTTGACCTTGCAACAGAACTTGAGAGAATCTGGCGTGACATCCCACAAGCCTTCCTTGCACGTTTGATAGGCTCTATGCGTCGTCGATGCACTGCTGTTCTCAATGCCGATGGTGGACATACCCGTTATTGAGCTTGTGACATGGTCGTTTGACCCCTGTCCCGCTTGTGGACTCGTGACGTCATTGTGATTGACTTTTCAATTGAAATTCTCCCGATTTGTTATGGTCTCATGATCCCTCCATTAAAGTTTATATGTACCTTTGACATTGTTATCGTACTTATCAACTGGGATAATATTTTGACAATGCACAGTTTCTTTATGTGGCTAGTATATATATCCTGTATATACGACGTCAGGAGAACTCACAGACACGCACACGCAAACGCACACACGCTCACATGCATGCACACGCACACATTCTTATTCACACACATATACCGACACGTGGCTAAATACGTGCAATAATCTGAGACGCCACGTTAAACCATTTCATCTCACTCCTTCCTGAACGTATCTGAATAGCAGAAAATAGTCAAATGCTTGGACTCATCGGTGAGCATCTACATCCCCCAAGATGCTGACAAGGGTCTGGTTATGTGATACCTGTAGCCTTGGTGATTGGCAGTAATTCAGTCTAGATGCCATCAGCATTCATGTGCACAGAGAGCATAGTATGTCAAAGCTTGTCACTGGCGCATCCCGACAGATATTCGTTTCAAAGACAATCAAAATAATTGATCCCGTAATGTGATTGTCATTACATGTTCAGTTGAAGAAAGTCAAGTCACTAAATATACAGCAGTTTGTGTGTATTTGAACATTAAACCTCGTGGTAATTATGTACAAAATATACTTACCGTTGAATGCCAGACTAACATCTAACACTACATATTGATTTTCTAAACATCGCTTTGTGCATCAACACAGGGACAATACAATCAGTAGCTGACCAGCTGTTGAGAGTCATCACCTTGGCTATGCTGTCTGGATAGTGTAGGTGAACTGCACTAACTGAATACCAGGTGATTAGGCTATCCCGAACCAGAGTTCACCTGACACATCATTTATAATCGCTGTGACACGGCTTTAATGTTTGACTATTGCGTAAAACAACATTCGCTTATTGCCTTTGCCTTTGCCTTTAATCATGACATCTCTAGATTGGATGATTTAATAGGCTAGAAAACATATTCATTTTGCTGAATATCCAAGCTCCATGATGGCAGGCCATACTTATGATACACAAATGTTAAATGGGGCAAACGTGTACAATTTTCTACTAGGTTTTGACTTTTTTGTTGTCTCAAATATAATTGTTGGTATTCATATTGATCAAATACATTAGGTTGGCTATGCCAAAAGAAGAGAAATATTATTTCAAAGGCAAAATTATACCAAATTAAGATGGGCGCCATTTTTCAATTTCATGTCCACGTTGTTTCTGTGTCAGTCTGGAGGACACGGGTTGTTTACCTACACAATGACGTGTAATGGATGGATGTACAATTCTAGGACATGAAGGATTACACTCACAACTTTAATTATCAGATCATGACCACTTAATACAAGAACATGATTTAGAAGACAAAATGAATTATCAATGACTGTTTTTTTACAGCTTTCCAATGAACAAAATTATTGTAAAGAAGTATAGACATGAAAGTCATCCATATTGTAACTCTTTACCTGGCTCATTTGGTTCATTTGTATTTTCGTTGAGTACCTTTTGTCAACTCTTCTTTGATGACCATGGCCAGTGTTGGTGTCAGGTACACAGTGTATTCAGTCAAGTACAGAAGCTGATATGTAGCGTGACGAGATTAACTTAGCCCCTTGTGATCAGTCCGGAAGATGTCTATATCCCAGAGTAGCTGTCTTGACGGGCCCACCCGGTTGGCCCAATGTGATCAGTCCAAAAGATGCGAGTATCCCGGATATAGCTGTGCTGACTGGCCCAACCAGCTGGCCCAATGTGATGAGTCCGGAAGATGCCTGTATCCCGGATATAGCTGTGCTGACGGGCCCAACCAGTTGGCCCAATGTGATCAGTCCAGAAGATGCCAGTATCTCGGAGCAGCTGTGACCAGATGCAGCCTGTTCATTCACGGCAAGTGTTTCCCACGGCTCATAGCTGCTTCCATGAAAAGTAATCGATGCCTTCAGGTATGTAGGTGACAAGCAATCGGAAGTGGGATGAGAGATATTTCATTCATAAGCACTCAGATGTGAGATGTGAAAGATGCCTTTGATAAATAATCGGAATTTTTAGATATGCCCTTGAGTAGAAGGAAGTGAGATATAGGATATCACATTGATAAGACACGGGAAGAGATCAATCCGGAAGATGCCTGTATCCCGGATACAGCTGTGTTGATGGGCCCACCCAGCTGGCCCAATGTGATCAGTCCAGAAGATGCCTGTATCCCGGATACAGCTGTGTTGATGGGCCCACCCAGCTGGCCCAATGTGATTAGTCCAGAAGATGCCTGTATCCCGGATACAGCTGTGTTGATGTGTTCCAGAAGATGGGCCCATGGGCCCACCCAGCTGGCCCAATGTGATCAGTCCAGAAGATGCCTGTATCCCGGATACAGCTGTGTTGATGGGCCCACCCAGCTGGCCCAATGTGATTAGTCCAGAAGATGCCTGTATCCCGGATACAGCTGTGTTGATGGGCCCACCCAGCTGGCCTAATGTGATTAGTCCAGAAGATGCCTGTATCCCGGATACAGCTGTGTTGATGGGCCCACCCAGCTGGCCCAATGTGATTAGTCCAGAAGATGCCTGTATCCCGTATACAGCTGTGTTGATGGGCCCACCCAGCTGGCCCAATGTGATCAGTCCGGAAGATGCCTGTATCCCAGATCAGCTGTGTTGACGGGCCCACCCAGCTGGCCAAATGTGATCAGTCCGAAAGATGCCAGTATCTCGGAGCAGCTGTGTTCAACCAGATGCAGTCAGTACAATCACGGCAAGTGTTGCCAACGGCTCATGGCTGCTTCCATTTCAAAAGTAATCGATGCCTTTAGGTAGTTGACAAGCAAGTGGGATGAGAGATATTTCATTGATAAGCACTCAGAAGTGAGATGTGAAAGTTGACTTTGATCAATAATCGGATTTTTTCAATATGTCCTTGAATAGAAGGAAGTGAGATGTAGAATATTACATTGATAAGACAAGGGAAGTGACTTGTAAAAGATGTCTTGATAAGAAATCTGAAGTGAGTGGGAAACACAAGTAATCGGAAGTGACTTATGTCCATGATGAACAAAAGTGTGATATGGAATAGTTAATCAGTACATTGATATGATGTATGAATTTGTCATCGATATCTAGATATTAGATGTATGATGTGACATGAGACAGTTGCTTTCCTGCAGTTTACAATTATTAACTTTGTATTAAAGCTCTGAGTTCTCGTGTGTAGTTATTGCGATTTTTTTGTTTCCGTTACCAAGCGATATCAGTTTTTACCAGTTGAAGCCAGAAGGCTGAGTAGTATACACAATGGGGCTACGGGACCAGGTCCCCCAAGGGCTCAATTTTAAAACTTGAGCCCTTGGGAAGTCCTTAATCCCGTAGCCCCATTGTGTATACTACTACTGAGGTGCATGCAAAATTCATGCATGTCGAATTGTTTCTGAAATATTGACTTTTAAGTGAGCATGGGGTCGGTCGGGAAAAGGCAAAGTGTCCAACTTTTTGTCGTAATTAAGTCTTAATTAATCTAATGAAGTCATCGAGAGTGTTCCCAATGCCGCTTTGCTATAGCGTAACCATCTGCCGAGATGCATGGAAAATTTCAAGGAAACCGGTCTCATAGTTCAGGAAATAATCACTTTTTAGTGAGCATGGGGTCGGTCTGGAAAAGGTAAAGTGTCCAACTTCCGCCAGACCGACCCCATGCTCACTAAAACGTGATTATTTCCTAAGAAGACTGCCTGACAGCACTAACTAGAAGTCTGCCTGACAGCACTAACTAGGAGACTGCCTGACAGCACTAACTAGGAGACTGCCTGACAGCACTAACTAGAAGACTGCCTGACAACACTAACTAGAAGACTGCCTGACAGCACTAACTAGAAGACTGCCTTACAACACTAACTAGAAGACTGCCTGACAGCACTAACTAGAAGAATGCCATACAACACTAACTAAAAGACTGCCTGACAGCACTAACTAGAAGACTGCCTGACAACACTAACTAGAAGACGGCCTGACAGCACTAATAAGAAGACTGCCTGACAGCACTATCTAGGAGACTGCCTGACAGCACTTACTAGAAGACTGCCTGACAACACTAACTAGAAGACGGCCTGACAGCACTAATAAGAAGACTGCCTGACAGCACTATCTAGGAGACTGCCTGACAACACTAACTAGAAGACTGCCTGACAGCACTAACTAGAAGACTGCCTGACAGCACTAACTAGAAGACTGCCTGACAACACTAACTAGAAGACTGCCTGACAGCACCAACTAGAAGACTGCCTGACAACACTAACTAGGAGACTGCCTGACAACAATAACTAGAAGACTGCCTGACAACACTAACTAGAAGACGGCCTGACAACACTAACTAGGAGACTGCCTGACAACACTAACTAGAAGTAGAAGACTGCCTGACAACACTAACTAGGAGACTGCCTGACAACACTAACTAGAAGTAGAAGACTGCCTGACAACACTAACCAGAAGACTGCCTGACAACACTAACTAGGAGACTGCCTGACAACACTTACTCGAAGACTGCCTGACAACATAGGTCAACAAAAGCTTATACGTCATGAAGATTGGTTTACGACATGTGTGATGTTGTCATTTGTGTAACCCCACTGAACATAGTCCATTGTTGAGGCCTGTTACCATGCCAGACTCAACACTGATACAACAGCACAAACACCGGAGCGTCACCCCCACTCTAGTTCAAAGCGGTTGCGTCTTCCAGCGGACAATTGCAAGAGGCCTGAACAGTCGGTCTAAGTTTCCGTCTGAGAAGGCGATGTGTACGTGTGGAGCAATTGTTGACGAGCCTGCACTAATGGAATCCAGTAATATATCTGAGGAGGCTGACTTGTGGCTGCCTGAGACACAGTGCACCTGTCACTGTGATTTACGGCTGTCTGTGAGACTTGGTCAATCACACATTGCAGACACATGGAATTACAAATACCAAAGGCAGTTGCGGTCAAATGTTTGCCTTCATGATTGCATGCATAGTTTTACAAATTGTAACGTTTGCGATGCAAACCAAATACTGGCGCAGCGAAAAGGTGAAATAGGTAGTTGTTGTTTCAGAATGATGTAGTATCCCAGCCATCTGCAAACGTGGACGAAATAACGGGATCTGGACACACAAACCAGGGGTTGATATGATGACAGCATATACGCACCGTCAGGGTATAATGACACCATAACCGCACGATCTCAATATTTCCGAAAGGCAAGCATTGGTACTAAGATGTTATATATAAAGCCCCAACGACGGAGAGTAACTACTCCCAATTGTCCACCGAAACATGAGCATAGACGATGCATAGTTCACTTTATATCAGGGGCGGAGAGGTAGTCTAGTGGTTGAAGCGTTCGCTCGTCACGCCGAAGACCCGGGTTCGATTCCCCACATGGGTAAAATGGGTGAAGTCCATTTCTGGTGTCCCCCGCCGTTACATTGCTGGAATATTACTAAAGGCTGCATAAAACCACACTCACTCACTCACTCATTCACTCACTGAATATCAATAGTGTCACCAAGTGTTCACAGTACTGATAAGCACGATTTACCCTGCCGGTAGAATCCGTCACCCACACTTTTTGCATAAATGTAAGTGTTCTTTGCCTAAATTTTCCTCTGAGTGAAAATAGCACTTGCCGCGAGACATTTAGATTATTTAAAATGGGAAAATGAATCAATTGGATTAATCTGCATTTACTACAGTCCGTTTACCACAGAAGGAAGTAGCTTCATTGTGCATGCATTCACCCATATCAGTTTGCCTCGTGGTTCATGTACAGCTCACTGGTGACTGTTCTCGCGTTTGTGTACTGCGGACAGGATGCAAACATTTACATGGCGATTTGTTACAGAACTTGTTTATGACAATCCGTCATAACGTCATATGTGATTAGGTATAACGAATGTTTATAGCAAGTGGGTTTTTTGCAAACGGACTGTGGTCCGAACTTGTTTGAAGACATTTTGGAATGCTAACCCATGTACTTCCTAATAGAAGTGACTATTGCTTGTAATGAAAAATGGCTTTTCCTAAATATGTAGAATGAAAGGAATTGTGGGCATGAAGCGTGGAGACCATTTCAAAAGAAATATATCGATATGTCAAGTTTGTTCGCGAAAGTACTACAACAATGCCTGCTGAAGGTTATTCCTAATTTGACGGTTCACGGAAAAGATTATTAAACATTTAACCAGTGATGTTTGAGCCGTTGAAGAATGCGCGGGCGTCAAGGAAAGCAATCACATATATCACTGCTCATAAAATGCATTTACAACTGAAGTTGAGTGGGAGTTAACCTTAGCCCTCCCAGGCGCTTGTGGAACTTGATATCCCTACCCTGCAGTAGTAGCCGCGATCAGATGTTGTGTTACAGGAAACAAAATAGAAACTGAGTGAGTGAGTGAGTGAGTGAGTTTCAGTTACATCACACCATGTCAACTTGATGTGTGATGAAAGCACGGAATGATTTAAAAGGTCTATTACTATGGATAGGGGTATGCGAAACCACGAACTAAGGTTTTCCGCCCTCAAAACTAAGGCAACTCTGCACAGCGAAAACGAAGACCAGTGTCTCCGAAACTTAACGAAATACTGTGACACTATACTACCAATCATTTCAAACAGCATTATAGTCGTTGCATTGTAGTCGTTGCGCTTTCTATGCAGTGTGCTCGGGGTTCCTGAGATACCAGATAATATTGGAATGTTGTTCTCATGGTTCCAAATCAGCTATTTGTGTCTAAAGCTAAATTCAGCTTTCTAAGTAAAGTACAAATTAGTGGGTTGAGCCCCATTCGGGATTCAGACCCACACTCTAAGAGTGAGGCACCAAATCGCAAACAGACAATTTCGGGGATCGTACGCACTCAGCCACCCAAGACTCCACAAAAATGCAACTGGACCTCATAACTGGAAGTCAGAATAACAGTACTTTGTGTCCCCTTTGATATCACGAGAGGGAAACCATTCCCAAATATGTTTTCTAAAATGGATTTTTGAACAATAAGTACGCAAGATTGCCACCCAGTATTATGTTTCTGAAATCGTACTCACAGTCTACACTAAAAAACATACCAAAAAGTATTCATGATCATGGACTTTTTAGTTAAGTTCATTCCATAGTTACATGTGCCATTTGTTAACCAGTATCTTGGTTGATATCATCATAATTGCATGTCATCACCATGCAACAAGGATTTGGACAGATAATACCATAACAATATTTTCACATTATATAACTGTCTGGTATCTGTGTCGATATTATATTAATTACACATTCACGTTATTCAATACCGTATATATTACCACAATAACATACCCATCATGCAACCATTATCTGTATTGATAGTAAAATAAATCGTATTCACATCACACGACCAGCATTTGGGTTGCCACTACCATAACAAAGTATTTATACTGTATAGGCAGTATTAAGATACATGATATAATCACAACATGCATATATAATACAACCAATACTTAGTACGATATTACCACCATAGCATTTACAATTATCATTAAGACCAGTAGTGGTTAACATTACCATAATAACACGTACACTTTGTGCTGTCGGTATGTAGTAAGGTATGCTAGTATCGGTGATGTGTTTATATTGGACGACGCCATATTGAATGAAGCGCTC